ACAAACAGCTTTTCTAGGCATTTTCCTAAACTAGAAAGAAGACTAATGCATCTCAAGTTATCTAAATGCGGGATACGAGGACCACTATTCTTAGGGATTAAAACAACATTCGCTGTTTTCCAGCAACGAGGAAATGAACCAAGCCTCAGACAAGTATTGAAGATTTTGGAGAATAAATTTGGAAACATTCTATGAACTTGCTTCAAAATTTCGTTTGAAATAGAATCAAGAGCGGGAGCTTTATTGTATTTAAGGTTTTCTATAACACTATTAATTTCTGACATAGTAAATGGAAGATCTGGATTAGCAACATAATTTAACGAAGCTTCAGCCCTAATTATTCTATGAAACGAATTATCCGTGCTAAAATGGTCCGTGGGAAAGCTTCTGTTAAGAACCTCATTAGCAGTTTCTTCAAGCGACTTTGTACAGTTACCAGATTGGAGATAAATTCCACTGACTTCAATTCCTTTCATAAAATTTTTCTTTAAAAATATATACGAATGGTATATTCTTATATATTTTTTTCCAAACATTCCTTTCATTTATACTCATTAGGAATTCTCTCCAAGACTTAAGCTTTGCATCCTGGAGCTTTAAGCTCTAACTATGTCTTAAGTGAAGATATTTTTGTTTATATAACTCTCTAAGAGAAGGCCTGGCAACAAATTCCCATAAAATGCTTCCAGAAACTTATTGAATCTATGCTTCGTCGTTTGGCAGCCATTATAAAGGTCAGAGGAGGACCAGCTCGTTATTGACTATAGCTATACCCAATTCAAAGGCACTTCAGTGTATTTAAACTTGTAAAAAAATTTATTATTTAAATTGGTCTTTTATTTTAAATGCGCTCAATGTATCTATCTTTTTCGGTATGGCAGATATCTATGCTCGACTGATGAGATTTATTTGGACATCCTGGAAATTCGATTGATGCTACCCCTAACCGAAATAAGACATGATCACCTATTTTTTAAGACCATTACCTGGCTCACTAAGACAGAGACCATTTGCAGGCCCATTTTTTATGAGACTATTTCGGTCAAAATTTTCCATAAAGACAGAGATCATTTTCCAGAGTACGTAAGAAAAAAACTATAAAAGTGAATGAAACGACAAGGACGAGGCGCTTATGCGTAAGTACGATGGCCGCCTAGGTCTGTTAACATAATTTCCATGTTACGCTTCCTTGTGGGTATAGAAGTGTGAAGCATGCTGTGTTTATGCTTCCACTCCCCGCTAATCTTTGGAATTTATTTTTGTAACCGTAGGCAGACATTCATGCGAAAATCCGTTTTCCCCCTTATGCATGCCAATATATTACGACTGACCAAAGTCACTGTATCAGATGTCTTAAATGAACCAAAGCTACGCGAATGCTACACCGCAGAATAGGATGCCTAAGAAAAGTGATTAGATCATTTAAGACATCTGATGCTGTGACCTTGGTCAGCGTAATATACTGTCTTGCTTAAGGGAGAAAACGGATTGTCGCATGAATATCTGCGTATTAACAAAGACAGTAAAGGCGGAACACATTTGTAAAGCATAAACAAGAATGAAAAAAACTTATGAGTTTACCTTTTGGGGTTAAATATTTAGTATAGGTTGCATAATTTATTTTTATGACTTTTTCAAATGTTTCACAGAATTGTGATTAACACCTGCAGAGAGCTTACGTAATATTTTTGTAAAATTTTGTGTATAATATATGGCTCTCATATCTCAAAATATTACTCATTTGAAGGAAATCGAGTATAAGATTTTTTTTGTCTCTTAGTTTTTTTTTTTTTTCATTGATCGCTCTTTATGTTTGCAATTAGTTCATTTTTTTATATGTGTAACAATATTTATGAATGATACATTACTGCAGATACATCGACTGCAGAATTTCTCTTTAACAGACTCCAAGATCCTTGATAAGATAAATTCATTGTGTAAGTCAAAAGCAATCATCACCAACAGTACTAACAAAACGCATTTAATTTAATTACTATTTCCTTTCTGACTCTTCTCTACGAGGTTCGCTCATTTCACAATTTATGTGAATTTTGAGGGTCACACAGTTTGACTATAGTGCAGAAGTTTACGAATAGGACTGCGAGAATATGGCCTGTTTCTGCTCGCTGACCTGTCGGTCGAAGAAAAGACTGCTGCCGATGCTGAAGTTGGTCTCGCTGAGAAATAACTTAGACTGATATTGGATCCTGTTTGGTACGTGTGTGTTCGAAATTCTGTCGCCGTCTAGGGGAGTTTATATAAACTGTTGAATTTATATCTGTAGTGAAAGGAGGCTTGAGTTTTAAGCTAGGTCCAGGTTGGCTGGTAATTTTGCGTTTGTGTATTCTAATTTATGCACTCACAAGTGGCGAAGTAGAATAAATTTAAAGTGTTTCAATTATGAGTCTGTTTGTTTAATGGTTAGCTGTTCTGGTGGGGATAATTCACCGCACAGAACAAACGCAACTCCTTATTGTTATGGTAACAGATATCGCCATTGCTATGAAAATAAGGTGGACATCTGAACACATAGCAAGAGTTACACTCTTACACTCTAAGATGACCACCTCCACAGAATTCAAAGGCATTCAAATTGGCTACTGGAAAAGCATTTTTGAAATTCAATGAATGAATTTTGAATTTCAATGTCTGTGCTTTTAAAGATGCGTAAAAATCACTGGAAAAGGGAAAAAAGCCAACGTTCTGTTAGATGAAGAGTGTGGAACTCCAGGTAGTCGTAGAGAAGGTTAACTGCACTTCATAAAATTCCAGAAATCCCGAAGAGGAATTTCGGAAGATATATTGGAACACGTCCCATAAAAGTCTCCGTCTCTAAATTTCATAAAGATCAAAGAGTAACTAAATGGTATCCTTTCCATCATTCTATTACAACTGCAGAACTGGGGGGGGGGGGGGGCAGTCTCTGTTAAACAGACTAGTATAAGGCTTCTTTGGAGGAAGGGGGAAACTAGAATTCCGCTCTCATTGACGGAAGTTTAAACGACGGGTTTAAACCGCAGCGGCTATTTTTGATTAAAAATTATGACTACGACAAGTATCGCCAGATTAAATGATATAGTACATGCAAGTTTTCTTTCGTAACGCAGTAAAAAAATCGCAATATTTCCATAAACAGTTTAACACAGAGAAATGTTAAAAAACAGAAATATGTGTTATATCAGTTACATTATGACGTGAATGATTTATCTGATAGTGTAATTATAATAAAAATTCTGATGTGTACACCACATGACTTCCTTGCACGGAATATTAAATTATACGCATTTTTTCTTGCATTTCATTTAAACTTATTGGTTTGAATTACATCTACTTCGCCGACAGCGCATAATCCACAATAGAATAAATGCATTCTTTAAAATTCACTCTATTTGTTTACCATAGCGACACTCTGGCGCTAGGTTTACTTAACAGTATTATATTTCGTTCATATTATAACTCAGAATGCACAAAATTTATAACATTTAAAGAATTATCTACTCGTTGCCACATGTTATATTCAACTACTAAAGCTAGAATGATGTATAAAAGAATTTAAGCAAACAAAACAAAAAAGAAATAGTTTTTCACAGTTCTATCTTCGCGACAAGGCAAAAATACATAAAAACTCAAAATATCTGTATTAAAAATTATGAAGTAAATCTTTAACTTATTTCCTCGAAAAAATTCCAGAAATGATTAAGCATGATTTAATTCGCAACAATAAGCGAAGGCTTTATCTTTGTTGTTGCGAAGCTAAGTTCTCTAGATTGGCAACAAATCCACTATTCTGCTGTTTCAAATGTAAACAAGCAATGGCCGCCATCAAAAAAATGATTAGGCTTAGCGGTACTTAAACAACTTTAAAATTGTTGATAATTCTAAAAATATTGCATACAGATTTACTAAAGGCATAAAAACCTTAACCGGAAGATAAGAACAATATAATTCAATCATTTTTAAAGCGAAAAATGTACAATTTACAAACATATAAGAGTAAAGAAACTGTGATCACTGAGCCAGGTAACAGAGTGGATATATATATATATAAATATTTATATAAGTTTGGTGCGGCCGATTGCAACCAAAATACGAGGTGCACATCTACATGTTATGGCAGTCCTATATGCAAAATTTCAATGTTCTGAGGCTACTCGTTTTTGAGTTATGCGAGATACTTGCGTACGTTCGTACAGACGCCACGAAAATTTCTCTTCAGAATTCATTTTAAAGCAGTTTTATATTTTTCTGGAGGAAAAGAGTCTTTATTCTGTCCTTACGTACAGATATCATGCAAAAACATCGTTAAATTGCATTCGATAGCGGTCAAAATGGATATTTTCGTTGAAATATTCTGCCTGAAGCTTTTCGCGATTACAGTACTTCTTTTTTACTTCATACAAGGAAGTAAAAAGAGATAAGGTTTTTTAACAACTTCAGCTCTTTTCCATCATAAAATAATTTGAATTCATTCACCATACCAATATCCGACAAGATTTCTATGTTATTCCATGTTTTAAATTTTGTTATTAATGTCCTTCTTGCTTTTGTTTGTGGATAGCTTTCGTTTTACTTCCCAGCGTTTCGCAGTATCTTGACCATCGAAATGCCAGCAGCGTAAAACTCTTATTTAAAAATATGAAAACATTTCTTCAATCTACGTGAGAAAAGTTGAGCAGATTTTCTGTGCATTCGGTACAATATTCCGGCTTAAGCTTTTATGAATATTAAGAATATTAGTTAGTAAACTTTCTTCTTCAGAAATTCGAAAACTCGGTTAATCTAAATTCTTTTGTGTTTAGAATCATATTTTACGTTCTAATATGCCATTCTTATGTTAAAAAACAGACTGTTTCTTTCCTTGGATGTTACGATAAAGAAATTCTATACACTTATCTACTGAGTCAGGATTGTTACAGAAGTGTTCTAAGAGGACTCAAGTGAACATTTTAGGCCATTCTGCGCAGATGTTCAGAGCTGTTTCTAAGAGTAAATACACTTACCTGGTGTAAAAGAAGAGGGAAGACCGCCATTCTCGTACCAAAATCTATCTCCTTTTTTCAACTTGGCGAACTGTCGGGCTATGATGCAAGCAAAAGTGGGACCCACTAGGGCTCCATCCATGACTCGCTCGGAAACGCCCGCAGACCAGAGGTCTATGTCGTCGGGGTGCCTGAGAAAAACATATCAGTATGTTTCACAGTAAGAAATAATAGTTAAAAATACAAAATATAGTTAAAAACAGACAATTGAATTCATTGCAGTTATTCAGGTGGGCTTTAATACCCTAAATTGCATTATTAAAAGTTCATAGATCAAAGCGATAATTCGAGAAATTTTATGATTATCCTTTCTTTAATGTGCAGGTTTTTAGGAGCCCTGAATTATATAATAAAGCAATTGGAGGGGATTAATGGTAAACCAACACTACCTCATTGCACTATTTATGTTCTAGGAATATGTTTCTGTATTGTGTGTTGCCTATGATTTTGTTGTTTCTCTCACCCCGCTTACCAAAGTGTACAATGAAATGAATGCCTGGAATGAAATTTTCACAAGTCGCATTTATTGAGAATGAGATACATTCCGATGATATGAGAGATCACGTTACTTATGTATAGCTAATGTAAACAAACATGATCATTCTCACTCTTGTTCTCTTATGGAATGTATCTCATTGTTCTTCATCACATAAAATGCTTAAAAATAAATTCTATCTTTAAATTTAGATCTGACAAAATTAGGAAAACGTTATCGCTTAACATATTTCACCATTTGAAGTGCAATGAAACAGTAGAGCAGCAATAGCAAAAATTGTAAATCTTTCTCATCAAATCAAGGACTCTGGCAAGAGTATCAAGAGTATCAGTGCTGCAACTGTAAGTACGAAAATCTGGGGAAATATAGAATCTTCAAAATCTGGAGATTTCAGACAAGCCTGGTTATCTTTTGATGATAGCAAACAACATTTGTTAGATCTGACAGCAAGATTCTTTCATTAAAACACTTCTTTATCTCAATCTGAGAAAACGTAAGTGTATATAGTTTTTGCCTTAATCGCAGTAAATTTAAGTAGAAAACGCAATATACGTAAGAATCGGGAAGCTAAAATGGATTTTAAAATAGTAATAGAAGCTTACATAAAGCCAAAGTAACGTTCTATATCTGCTGTAAGAAAAAAACATCACTCTCGAGAATTTTGTTGCAAGCCGACTAGGAAAAAAAAAGTTCTAGAAAGAATTGCAACAAATTATAGCATATTTAATTACGTCACTATTCAGTTACTTTGATAGCTTCTTGAAATAAATGAAAATGAAATTATACGTCTCAGCAACAATTTAGAATTACCCATTAAAGGAAAAGGAAATGTGAAAATCCGGAAGCTTATTTAAGGTAAGAAGGGAAAATATACAGTGTTCTCTTTGTTCATGTTTCTGAAAATCTTTTCACATGCTTTATAAAAAAATTTATAATTTACCCTGAAACAAACATTTTTCACAAGGCTAATCTAGGAATATGGCTTAAAAAATCAGGACACATAAACTTGAAAGTTCGTTGTGAATTGAGTGATAAAGGATTAATTGAAAAGCTAGGTGTCTCAAACAAAGAAGATTTTTTTTTTGAAACCTACCATTACAGAAAGCACCATAGATTTCCATTTGATTTTAAAAAAATACAAGGCTACTAAATTTATAAGCATAATTAATACGTTGCTGATGACACAATGACATTTGTGGTTCTATGTTCACATAGTCAGTATGTGGAAAAGATTATTTCATATTAATGAAAGATAATTACGGTGGTTTCAGTTTCATTCTCAATTTTTGTAAAAATATATGGACTGTCGAATAAATAAAAACTGCATCGCGGTAATAAATTTTCCACTTTATCCGAACTATTAACACTGCCGTGTTTTCTCATAAAAGATGCTCACTTAAAAAAAGGCAGTTTCAAAACATAGATCAGTTTGTAGCTTGTTTCGATAAGCCTAGTTTCAAGCTGAATTTTCAAGTAAGTCATTAAGAATCAACGTTTTACTAGAGCAGTTGTGGATTTAATAGCTTGAATCTTGAAGGGAATATATTAACTAATTAATTAACTGATCAATTTATCTTTATTAACTAATTTTCCACGGATTCTAAAATACACATTTAAGGACATGCTCCAAAAATCTGACAGAAAAGTATGTTTGTATTAGATTATAAGTACTGAATATTGCTAACATAAAACAGATTATGGTACTTTTTTCAGAATATTAGGGAAAGAAAAACAAAATTAATAGAATACTAATAACGATAAACTTATTCAATTAAAACTTATATTTAAAATCATCATCTAAAAATGAAAGTGACTGAATTCAGACATTTAAAACCAAAATCATAAAATTAACTTGACCATAATTAGGTTAACATTTTATTACCGAAAACAAATAAAAAATTGTTATGACTCAATTAAAGATTTTCGTCTTAAGACGGTCCAAGGTTTTCTCACACCTCACCCCTATCACCTATCCACACGAGATGCAGTATGAGTTTAAGATCTCTAACCTAGTGCACAACAACCGAGTCTAAGACTTTAGTTTGGCCTCTTAAAATCACCTATTAGTGTGACTTTAAAATCTTCTTTGAGCAAAACATTTAACAAACGTTTCCCAAAATTCTCATATGTTTCAAAATTACTCTTATGCATGCCAATTCTATGTTCTTTAACTAAAATGTTCGTCCTTTCCGTTTAAGAGAATAAAAATTTTGAGTTCTAATTTAAGATAATAAAATTAAGTTGCTGACTTTATTTTAACTAATTAATGAAACATAACCTCAAAATTTGATTTTAAAGATATCAATCTAATATCCTTCGAAGATGTCGCAGAGAATTAATGAATTGCAGTGTGACGTAACAATGGGAGTTTTACTTGCCTGATCATAGCATTTTCAGTTTTTGTTTATATAAAATCCAAATACGAATATGAATATTTGGCTCATTAAAATTCAATATAATGAGCTGAATGTTTATATAAATATACAAATCGACCTTCTAAAAGAGCTTTATTTGAAATTTTGAAAACATTTTATTTACCATTTAAAATAAAACTTATTAATGTACAATTATTAAAATACACGTTAATCACAGTAAAAAATTGGCATGACCGTTACAAAAAATCCATGATATGTCTAAATATATCGCTACATGTATAAAGGCAAAATTTCTCACCTTTCTTTAATAAAATCTGGATAATTTGCCTTCGGAATCAGCATTTTGGGAGCCCGAAAAGAATGCTGTAGCAGCATTCCACAAGCTATGTAAATTCGTCAATCTTCGTGTAGTTCTTTTAAACTTTTAACGGCATCTAATTAATTTCATATACTATGAAAAATTTCTAATTCTTCCCAATCTTCTTTTTATTTTATATCTAGAATTTCCGAAGTCGTTGATATAGAGTATCATATATTTCTCTTCTCTAAATAAACATCAAATTCTGCTATGATGAGACATTCGGCACTATTTCCGGATGCAATTTCTTCAGTTTATTTAACTTACTGCTTACTGCTTCCAAAACAGCCACGGTTTCCTTTTCAGTTAGGATCTCGACAACGTAGATTCCATACCAGGCAATAAAAGCATTTATTAATGACTCTATTTTACTATAACACAGCTAATGATACTTTGATCCATTAACTGAAAATTGCTGAAGCTAAAATTGGGCCAGATACGTTCTGTATGGAGGCGACATTTTGTCATCGTAAATATAAAACATGGTGAGTTTCTTTCCTTCAACACCAATTCAAAGGCTTAATCATTCTTCCTAGATATCAGCTGTTCCTTTATCTTAAATCATAATTCCAAAGAATGTTTTAACATATTTCATGCTCTTGAAGCACACGAATTTAGTTGTATTACAAACCATTAAGGTTTTCTCCAATCAAGTTGACATAAATCCCCAAATGATAATCTTCAGTCTTTGCTCACAAAGTTTCCTTTTGAGCACTTTTAACTATTCGAGCGCAAGGATTACCTTATCACATCAGCCGCAGACAAAACCAGTATTGTCACCTTTTATTACGTTTTAGATTCATAACCCAAGAAAATGAACAGCAATTTAATCTTTTTCATCCTATAATTTCGCGACTTTCATAGCATTCACTGCAAATTTCTCAAACCTATTTGAAATTTTTATGAGAAACATTTTAAATACTATTTAAATGTTTTGAATTTTGCCTTTCTTAGCATTTCTTTAGTAGTTTTCATTCACTATAAATTCGTATTTATTACATTTTTATTCGCAACAATTCATATGTGAAACGTGAATATAAGCTAGTTTTCCTTGAAAAGGTCTTCAAAACATTTTCCTTTCCTTCAAAGCATAAACTTTATGTATGACATATCAAATTAAAGAATAAGCAAACATTATTTTAGCACATATTATGATTCAAACATAATTATCCTTTTTATACTTATGGAGATCTTTCATATTATTTTTAATGCTTTCTTTTGTTGGTTTCTTAAGCGTTTTTCATATTTAACTTATTACACTTCTCATGACAATTCATAATTCTGCTTTTTCCCTTTAGGTTACCCTGCATTTCAGTTTATCTGGCTTTGAATACTTTCCCAGTGTGCATATTTTACATATATCTCGTATTCCCTTTATTCCATTTTTTATTATTTCTCCCCTTTTTATCTGATTATTGATCTAAATAACTTTATCTTTTAGAGCTATAAATGTATATCTCTTGTTTACACTGAAGATAATCATCATTCTCACTGACAAATCAAGTAGCAGATACAGGGTATTATCATCAATGAGATTATCATTATCTACATAATAATTGAAAATCTGTTATTATTTTAATTAATATACGAATGAAAAAGGAACTTTTATGCAACCGAAAGACTTCTTAGAAATAAAAGAAGTTAATATCAAACAGTAAGTTACATTTAATCCCTAATATAATGTAACGTGAGAGCTCATGAAACAAATATACTTTTATAACTGTTATCGCGTGACTATTTGAAAATGGAAGCAAGAAAGGCATAACTATAAAATGGCTAATATTCGTCTAGTGAACTGCGAATGTTTTCCTACAAAGATATATTCTAGTTTTATTCCGCATAATATGTTGTTATAGCTTATAGAGATTCCCTTAACTCAACTTTTTATAAAGATTACTAATGTCGCTTACTTGTAAAGTTTGGAATATTTATAAGCAGTCCCATTACTCATGTAGAATTCCAGCTCTTGAAACGTTTCGACTCTAGGAAGTCCGCACCATTGTCGGAAGAAATTGTACCCGGGTACGCCATGTTCTCGACCCCGCATGAGGTTGATAGCAGCTAGGTCTAGGCCGAATGGTTCTGGACGGTCCTCGAAAAGGTGGTTTGTCACCTGGGAAGTATAAAATAACGGAATTACAAAACTAAAATTTGAAATTCTGGAAAATTCAAAATTAGATTGCTGTGAAATAACGAAACATAGATCACGAAGAATAGATCACGAAGTATTGTTTTTTTCAATCAGCCAAAATATTCTGATTGTTCATTAGGTTCTCCGGTTATAATACCGGAGAAATCTTGGATATTTATAAGAATATAGTTCCAGTATGACATTAGACAATTAAAACAAATGGCGAACTAAAAGTCTTCTTGAATGATTTGATGCTAGAAGAAGAGGGATAAAAGACCTCGGATCCGTCTCCCGGGGGATTCTTCTTCAAAAGTGGAAGGGAGCTGGGCAAAATGTCCATGACCCATGCCAGTGATAGATGCAATTCTGTGCCCTTCGCCGCAATAAAATTCTTTGACGTGTTCTAATATTACTGTCAGATATGTTAGATAAATCACAACAACGTTATGTGGGGAAAGACGCATGCGCGACATCGATCATCCAAGTCGCCGCTCGCTGACTTCATTAAAACTTGAATCTTTTCTTCAGTTTTTAGCCATACTTACTTGTTGTTATCGCGACTACCTGTGATTTCCCTTTTCTTACTACCAGCAGCAACGTTTTATAAGTTTTATTTATACAATTATTACATAATTAAAAATAGTAACTTCTTAATAAATATTTAGTTAAGATTAGTTTCACATTAACTTCTGTCCTGAAATTCTCTGAAATATATTTTGCCTAGCTATAGCGCATCCCAGAAGACTCAAGATTAGTTAGATTAAAAAACAAAGCCATGGCTAGATCTTTAATATTCTTAAATGAATTCATTTCAGATATCCCAAAATTGTTACATTCTGTTGTGGCTTTGAAATAGCCCTAATTATTTACATTTTATACACAGTTTAAACCTAAAGTAGGAATTATGAATTGAAACCTAAATTAACCTCAACAAGTCAGTTTACCTCCGATGAAATGAAGGGATCGTAAGTCTGAGCAGGCGTGTTTAGGAGTCCTCCAACCAATTTATCGATCATGCCTGGTTCATATATGATGAAAGGATGCCGAAGAACTTCTCTGAGTTCAATTGAATCTGTGAGAAAGAGAAATTAGTTATGTCACTGGTTCATCCGATGGTAATTTACACATGATAATAATAAAACAGCATAATGAAAATATAAATTTTTCATAGGAAATGTTTCAAACATATCTAGAATTGCAACAAAAACCGAGCATATGGAGTGGATTGCTTTTCCTTTAATCACAACGTTCGATAACCAAATTATATAATAAGAAATATAAACCAGTTATTTCTGAGAAATTAAACAGGGTTTTGGATATTCCCAAATGCAATCATCAAATCGTTATTGAATCTCAGCGTTTCATAAATTCTTTTATTGGTTAATAGTCTGTGAAACTATTTATTTAATGTAACAGCTTTAAATAAATAATTTCACAGACTATTAAACAGAGTGATAAAATAGAAGCCAATACATTCCTTAATGCATAATTAGTTCATAAGATACGCTTGATAGGTTTGCGGCAAATTATACCTCTAGCTACAAAGAACAGGACTCCTCATTAATAATGGGTCATTCTTTCAAGAATACCGTGATTTTGCGTAATAAATAAACTGAATTACCTTCCTGTTCTCCGTACATAGCATATTTAAATGCACAAATCCAAGATTGAAAAATACATAATTGGAAATTTAATACATAGGTAGAAGCTGTAATATCATTAGTTCCTTTAATTTACGGATATTTATATTTACGGATATTTCCTAACATCCATCAAATTGACGGGTATAAGAAACCAAGTAGTTTCTTAAAAAACTAATTCAAACTGTTTCTGAGACATCTTTATTCATTGTCTGGAACTCAACGACTGCAGATCATTCCTTAGCCTTCAGCCAAATGCTTTATATTTACGCTTTAAGCATGTACGATCGGCAGATAATCACACGTAACATATTCTTTACTCTGGCGAACCGCTGTGGTTTGATATTGAATTGAAGTTATTGAAAGATATTTCCGTTGAATTGTGATTTTTATTCAGCATCTACGTTCCAAATACTTTTACATTGTCGCCGAAACCTAATTTAACCCATATTTTACCAATGATCGAAGAAATTAAAATTTTTGATTGAAATTTCTAATTTTGTTTTATAAATAGGTAAGAAAAGATAATAAATTTAAAATATACGAAACTTTTATTTTCTTTGAGATTACAGGCTGTCCTATACGTATATAGGACGATGGTCAAATCCAGTGCTGTGAAGTTACAGGACAATATTTTCTTTCAAGCCCGTTCTTTTGAATGAAATGGTGAAAAACAACTCGAACATCAGCTAATATTAAATTTTTTACAAATAGTTGTTGGTTTCCTTGTACAATTATTTAATTGACAACGACGTCAATGTCCATCAGGGTTTTTGACAATTACGTGATCAGTTTGCATTTTCAAGAAGTCCGGATTTCTCTGCTGCGCACCTAATGTTCCGCGCCTTGAATGTTCCTAAGTATTGATAATCCCAAATAGCTGACTGTTATAGCCCGTCGATATTCTAGAAGATGGTGGTTCTTTCATATACATTTTACAACCATGTCGACTGAAACAGCTCACCATTCTTTCATCAGTGCTTAGATGTTCGGAAAATACACCTACGTGTTGTAAAGCATCATTCAGTAAATCATGAAGTGGATGTACTTTGTAATAGGCGTCCGAATCAATGGTGCTATTGTCAATGAAATGAATGCACCGCTTGATTTCAGAATATCTAGTTCGTGGCATTGCTCGACTAAATAGTATAGTTCCTGTGTCTAGCGCGTTTTCCCAGTACATTTTTTCACGTGGCAAAATGTGGCAGCCTCTATAAAAATGTATACCTAGGAATTGCTTGAGTTTATATGTTTTGTCAATAAAAAAAAATGATGATTATTTTTCTACCCAGCGTGTCTCTTACTCTTAATAACCTCTTTGTTTATCATTTTTTTAGCGACATACTCAAAGAGTTCTGTAGGACATTTTCCAGAAACAAAATCAGCTGGAGACTGACCAAAATCTTCAGAAAATATTTCTGAAGCCAGTGAATATTTAGGAACGCACAATCTTTCCAATCAAGGTTCGGCACACATTTCATCAGCTTTATTTCCTACTATAATTTCCACAGTTCGTGCTGTTAATGCTGCGTTTTCATCACAACTAGCTTGGCTGTGTCTAATCTTTAGTGCAGTCATCGTCTATTTCTTCATTGTCACTAACTGTATCTGGATCAGGTGGTATTATTACCATTTACGGCTCAGTACCTTCATTATCTTATGTGGTAAAATATTTCAAAGCTTTTTCAGCTGTAAGAAATTTTCGACTCATTTTGGATGCGTAAAATAAATATACCTTACAAAATAAACATTCACAAAAGTAAATTTCTTTCATACAAATAAAACGTGTGAAACGTCTTTCAGATGCTAAATATAACTCTTTACAAAAAGGGACGCAGGATAAGAAATAGTTGATTGTTATATTTTACAGCGGACGTAACCATTTCACTCCAAAGTGGTGTTATGTTTTAATGTCATATAATAGTGGATTTTACCGTTGTCCTACTTATAGGACGCTCTAAAAAAAAGCAAAATAAGGATCTATAATATATTTTTCTTTTGGATTTTTTGTCATTCACATTGATCGAGACCTATTTTATTTAAAACAAATTCACACTTTTTATTTTACCCTCTTTTTCCCTTTTTTTATGCGTTTAAAAATAAAATGCAAAAAATCAAAATTAGTCTTTTTGTACGTCTTTTAAAAAACAGATTTCTAAAAGTAAAAATTTAAAACAAAATAGTTAATATAACAAGTAGCTTTCTGGCAATAATACAATGTGAAAGAAATAGTTTAAATATTATTACTTTTTTTGTACACGCATCAAATATGTACTGTCCTGTATATAGGACAATGGTAAAATATGGGTTACTAAAAAAACCGGTTTATTACGATTAACTGTGAAACTGGCTTACCCGTCATTAGAGATAGGTATATATCATACATTCTGAAATTAAGGGCTGACGGGGAAATAAATTTGGGTATGTATTCGTCTCATTACATCGATAATTGTCAGTATAAATTATAAAAACTATAAAAATAATGGTTTTTGTAATTTTGCTCATGAAGTACAAAATCGGTCAAAATGACGAGTTCCCTAAATATAGTATTTTAAACACCTTTTTCTTTCTGATTTAATTCATTAAAAGCTCAAAAATGCGCCAAGAGATCATCTTTATGGACTCCGCAAAAACTGCAAGATCAAGTAAACATTTCCATTGTCTAATGCAGCGTTTCCCCACCATAGTTCCGTGAAACATAGTTAAGGGTTTCACATGAAATAGGGAAATAACACGTGCATCATAAAAGGAAAAACAATTTTTATTCTGATTCGGTACTGCACTCGTGTAACTTCGGTGGGAGAAGCGGGTGTGACCGTAATAAGAGTCTAGCCGATGGCAATTGAAAAGCTGCCTTTGGTTATTCGTCTATGCTCAGTTCCACTCGTCAGACGTTGTCAACAGACGTAGTATAAATTTTTGTTACTTGCATTATCAATTCAATTGTTTAAAAAAAAAAGGAGAGAGAGAGAAAGTGTGAGGGTTTTTTTTTTTTTTTATGGAAAGAGATTCACTTATTGTTTATCAATTGTTATTAAACTGTACATTGACACTGTAAAACTATGCATGCAGCACGAGTCTAACCGAGCACAGCCGAACAGCCAATGGTAGCTTTTCAGTTATCACAGACTATAATCTAGTGTGACTGTGTATGCACTAGTGATGCAAAACGTGTACGATCATGTGGCTGGTTAAACAGAACACTAGAGCGTATTTTTTTATTTTACTATAATTTAGTTTATTTTATTTAACTATTATTTATTTTATTTTACTATTATTTTGAATATAATTTCGGTTTTGTTTCTCCTTTTTATATTTTGTTATAGATTTTAACTATTAAAATGTAGCGGTACTTGAAGGTGCTTTCATTTTTACCACGATATTTTCAATGACGATGTTTTTAAACTGCGAAGTTTTTGAATCGCCTTTTTTTCGACGATGGTATTTTGTATTTCGATGTTTTCTCCTTGCTTCCTTTTCTCCCACAATGTTTCGTACATCGCGTTTTCGCCTTGCGTTGTTTTTCTCCTAGACATTTTCGTAGGCGATGTTTTCGCTTGTAATCTCAAAAACACCATATATCCCATCATTACTACTACTACTACTATTTAAATATTAGCCTATTTAAAACAAAATTTCCTCCTATCGGGTTAAACATCAATCCAGTATAAAATCTGCTTATCTTCCTATTAAGTTAAATTTAAAAAATTCTGTAATAGTGAGGATTTTCGAATAAAATATAAATAATTTATCCAGGAACTTACCCAGGAATGTGTGGTGCTTGTCATACAACCGAACTCTATTCTGAATGAAGGTGTGACCGAAACGAAAAGCAGACGATTGGAAAGAATTGGCAGGACCAGCATGAGTGTCTTCATCATAACCATTCCAGTAACCCTATATATGACAAAAAGTATTTCAAAATAAATCATGGTTATCGTTTCAAGTATGCTGAAGAATTTTTTTTTTTTTTTTTTTTTGACAAATCTTATAGCTGATATGAACTTTTCGATTATACTTAACTTCCGTTACCAGTTTTTTAAAATGATGAATACTCAGAATATAACAGCATATTTTATATATGTATATTTTTTCTAGTTTGAATAGATTCTAAACTAGAAGCTGCATTTTTAAGATTGAGGCAGAATTATTATTTTTAAGAAGTTACTAGTTTCACTCAATTTTATGATTTTTCTTTTTTAAGTCACTCACTTTTGAAGGTATGCAGTAGCAGCTAAGGCTAAAGGAACTAACTGTTATAGGATCAGAGCAAGCTGTTAAGCTGTGAAAAAAGATGACTAATATGTAAATTTTATAGTGCCCGTGAACTTCTGGGACTAACGGATATTCACCTGAATGATTAGAAGAGTGCAAGAAACATTTGGATCTGCAAAAGAGTTAACTTCGCATTGTTTAGTTGGAGGTTTGCTACAGCTTATATTATACTTCACACACGCTTCCGGGATACGATGTCAAAGTCTACGGATATGATGTTAATTCTGGGATACGGTGTCAAAATTAACATTGCAAATTCCATTGTAACATGTAGCATGATTTCTGCCTCAGTAAAAGAAGCTTTTAAAGCTTCATTTTTGTTTTAATTATTGGTATTAACTGCCCTTATATTTTACTTTACAACAATATCTAAAAACCTGATTTACTTAAGATGCTTACTAGGGTAATTATGTGTCATGGGAAAAATCTAAAACCAACGAATGCCAAGGTATTATATCCATCAGGTCGACTATCGGTGAAATAACAGGAAATTGAGGCATAAGAAAAGAGAAATAAGTTACTGTTTAACTTTCTGTTTACATTATTAAGGAATTTGGGATTATTTATATTCTGTCAGAGCTATGCAAAGTGAGTAAGTACAGTTTAAATATTTCATTGTAATTAGGCTTTAAAATAACAGCAGGCAACATATTGATGAAATACTGATTTTACAAATACAACTAGTGATTTCTTAACAACAACATTATAGAAGACCCTAGGACATCCTAAAAATGTTGTTGGAATTAAACAATTGTTTTCAATTAAAAGTCTAGTTATTAAATACTATCACAGTTTGCACATTGAATACATATAAGTAATAAATACTTATTAAACGCAATAGACTTACATTTATATGTATTGTTAAGAATTTGGTATTTAAAAAGCTAATGTTAGTTCAATTATAAATTAAATAGTTTTATTTCTCGCGCAGTGCAGCGCATGACGAATATTAAAAAAAAAGCCAAGCCGGAAAATTGAAAATACAAGAGTGCGTGCATTAAATAAATAAATATCTCTTTTTGATTTCGAGAAAGTACTAGAAAATTCTAGCGCGTGATTTTAAAATCTTATAAAAGGAGGAAAACATCTCTTTGTAGTTGACACTGATGAGATTTTCTGAAAGTGAAGAGTAATCACCAGCTTAGAAGCATTTGAGGGAACTTCACTATGTTTACGATTTCTTTCACTTTTCAACACACAGGTTCCCCTGTTTACAGCAGCAGAGCTCGGGGTCAGTACTTGGGTGGGTGACCACCCACGTGACTGGCCTCGACGTATCATCATCTTTCTTCAACTAGTGAAGATACATCACAGCTTGTACGGCAGCCAGATGCTCCTTCTCCAAAGTCTACTTGACCAACTCACAATTTTCAATAAGACACAATTTTCTATCGTGGCGGATGCGAATGGATGGGATTCCCAAGCTAAGGCCTGTCATATCGCCGCTTCTTTAAGAGCCGACGCAGCGGATATCCTTCAGACTCTTCCCGAAAACAAAAGGTTAGATTTCGAAGCTCTGTCCGGCGCCTTGGAGCTGCGCTTTCGGGGAGAAATGTTTAAAAGACTACAGCAGGCTTCCAATTAAAATCCCGTCCAACAGAAAGCTCACCCGAAACAACTTCAGGAAGCTCGCCACGGATGTTGAAAGGCTTGTCCACATCTACGCCTTTTCGGAGTGCCCGATAGAAACAAGGGAAATCCTGTCCCTGCAATATTTCATCGATGGCATCCGGGACACTGAAATACAGAAAGCACTGCGAATGGCGGATGTTAAAGATCTGAAAAGCGCTTAAGTGTACGCCATGAAATTCGAGGGAGCCCAGCAAGCCACCCGTCGAGACCGCCATCCAGTCAGAGCTGCTCAGGTCCAGGAGCCAGGGGATCAAGTCACTGCTCGTCTAGACGATTTAACTAGACAACTGAACGCCTTGAGACGGAATATTGGTGACAAGAAATCGACCGTAAAGTGCTGGAACTGCGGTGCTGAAGGACACATTCGACGAAACTGCAGAATACCCCAGGGTACGGATGTTAAGACCCCTCCTAACAAACAGCATGGAAACTAATTAGTGGCCATCTCGCGGGGCGGAGGCTGCCAGACAATGAAAAGCCCCAGTTTAAAGCGCTTCAGATTTCTGCAGTGAGAGGCGGCATTAATGGACTTTTCATAATACGACATATTAATGGAGTTCCCTGCAATATGACTATAGATACATGAGCCAAAGTTACCATCATCCGAAAAGATTTGGCTCAGCAACTGGAAAGCAAACTTATCTGGGCGCCGCCCTGCGTTACCCTACAGACTGTGTCCGGTGAGAAGATCAACATCGATGGAAAAGTAAATGTTAACATCACGTTTGGAAGTGCCACTTACCATCACACGGCATATGTAGCAGAGATCACTGATTCTTGCATACTCGGATTGAACTATCTAAGGAAATACAATTTTTCCTTGGACTTTAACGAATTTTATTCTACATCTGAGGACATAACGTTGTTTGGAGTTAATGATGAAAAAGTTCAATTTGTCCATAAAATCATAGCACAAGACAATATCACAATACCGGCAAAAAAAATGAAATTTTACTTCCTGGATCCATAGCCGAAAACAGAAATTTCCGCTACGGCATCATAGAATATCCCAATAACTACAATAGCCCAAAAGGAGTACTAGTAGCCTCAACACTCGTCGACCTATCCAGAACGGTTATCCCGGTAAGATCCAATGTAACTGAACGGTTCGCCAATGTAACTGAGAAGGGAGAGAGTTATTAAGAAAGGTGAAGTGGTTGCAGCATGTACTCCAGTAACCAGCGTTGAAAAGAAAAGAGTAACATCCCAAGAATCCGTGTCTGTCCTCAGAGAGCAATTACATCTGAGTTATTGAAGAATGCGCAATTAAACGATGAAGATGAAGAGATCAATGCTGCCGATCCCGTCATTAAAGATCTTCAAGTTGTTTTCTCCCGCTCGTCTTTTGACGTGGGTCGAACTAGTTTGACACAACATAGAATAGATACCGGCGATCATCCCCCGATCAAGCAACATCCAAGACGTCTACCGTTTGCTAAACAGGAAGAGGTGCGAACACTGTTAAAAAGATATGGAAGAAGGCGATGTCATCGAGCCTTCAGTAAGTCCATGGGCATCTCCCATCGTCCTCGTCAGAAAGAAAGACTGCTCAACAAGATTTTGCGTTGACTATCGCCGGTTGAATGAGGTTAACCGAAGATAAGACAGGTTACCCTCTTCCTAGAATTGACGACATTTTGGAGACACTCTTTCTGGAAAGCAAGTGGTTCTCAACACTTGATTTAAGAGTGGGTATTGGCAGGTAGAAATACAGCCTGAATGACCGAGAAAAGACGGCATTTACTACGGGACAGAGGGCTTTGGCAATTCCAAGGTGATGCCGTTTGGACTGTGTAATGCGCCGGCAAAATTCGAACGTCTTATGGAGACTGTTTTGAAAGGCCTTTCCTACGAAGTCTTGTCTGATATACCTGGACGACATCATTCATCGTCGCAAAGAGTTTTGAAGAACATTTAGAAAATCTTAGGAAGGTGCTTCAGAAACTGAAAGAAAGCCAATCTGAAGCTGAATTCCCGCTAAATGCAAATTGTTCCGAAAGGAAGTGACTTACCTGAATCGGACATGTCATCTCTGCAGAAGGTGTGCGCACGGATCCTGAAAAGGTATCAGCAGTTAAATCCTGGAAACGTCCCGAAAATGTCCATCAGCTGAGAAGCTTCCTAGGGCTTTGCACCTACTATAGGAAATTCGTGAAGGACTTTTCTTCCATCGCAAGACCCTTTCACAAGCTGACAGAGAACAATCAAAAGTTCTTGTGGACAAAAGAATGCGAGGATGTATTAACAACTTAAAGGAGGCTTTAACATCTGCTCCAATCCTGACGTATCCTCAGCTCGACCGACCATTTATTCTCGACAAACACCGACGCGAGCAATGAAAGTGTCGGTGCTGTTTTGTCCCAAGAAATAGACGGCCAAGAACGTGTAGTGGCGTACTGGAGCAAGTGCCTGTCTAAACCGGAGAGGAATTATTGTGTCACCAGGAAAGAGTTGCTTGCCATAGTCAAAGCTGTAGAACAGTTCCATCACTATCTGTACAGCAGAAACTTCCTGCTCCGCACCGATCATGCATCACTGACCTGGCTTTTACATTTCAAGAATCCTGAGGGTCAAATAGCCAGGTGGATACAGAGACTCCAAGAATATGACATCACTATCCATCATCGTAAGGGATCATCACACGGAAACGCCGACGCCCTGTCTAGAAGACCTTGCCAAGAAAGCTGCCGATATTGTTCCAGGGTGGAAGCGAAATACGAGCTGCTGACTCCGGTCGCAAAACAAATTACAACATCAACATCGGCTGATCGAGAACCGTGGAGTGATGATGAAGTCAGGAAAGACCAGCTGGAAGACCGCGACATTATTAAACCCATAATTGATTTAATGGAGTCATCAAACAGAAAACCTACCTGGCAGGACATTTCTATCTGTAGTCCTACAACCAAACAATATTGGGCACTCTAGGATTCACTTCACTTTCGAAACGGCGTCTTATACCGGAAATTCGAATCGGATGATGGGAAGAC